TATACACGTGGCTGAGACCGGTCTGGTTGTGACACTGATGAGTGTCAGGCCTCTGCCCAAGATGCTGGTGAGGGTTTGAGGATTCTGGAGGACCTGCAGTGAGCGGCTGTATTTTCCCCAAAGTCTAAGAAAAAAGATGGGAGAGCGATCGCAGGCATACCCGGAGCCGGGTCACCCTGCTGTCCCCGGGGGCCAGCTTTGTGCCACTGGGCTCTGCTGGGCTGAGACAAGCTGCAGTGATAACAGCCAGCGTGCTTTGGGACTGGTTATGCTTTATTTGGGTCTCGCTGTTCACAGCTCTGGTAACCTTCCCCCCTGCTGACTCCTGGGCTTGGGATGCCTTTGAGATTCAGAGTCTGTTGGAGGGACCCCTTCACCTCTCCCCCCTGCACCGTGGGGGTTTGTCCCCTGTGTCCCCGGGAAGCCTGGGCTGAAAGAGCTTTATCACTTGTGAGAAGTAACAAGTCGCCGAAGTGGGAAGCTGCAGCCAAGGGGAACAAAGGGCAGTTCTGCCCCTGCATCCCTCATTTACAATTCCAATGGCCCATGAAAGCGCCCGACCAGGATGAACTTTGGAGTTAGGCTGTGCCAGGTCCCCAGCATCCTGCTCCTTCTGTCCCCCGGGGTGGATGGGCTCAGGTGTTTCTGGCCTGATGATCTTTTATCCTGGACACGTGTTGCTCCTGGTGTAGAAGAGAGGCAGGAGTAAAGCCCCATCCCAATTTCAGGGGACTGAGCACATGAATGCGGAGGGAAAGCTCCTTCCCATGTGGTGGTATTGGAAAAGCACTTAAATCTTGTAATCCCTTCTGGAGGTTACAGAGTGGCTTTGCAGTGCATGAGCAAACTTTTGTGGGATGACAGCAGGGAGATCATCCAGGGGCTGTGGGGAGCCCTGGTGGGGTGATGGGGGGTGACCAGGGACTCCCAACTGATGGGGACTTCTTTTTTTTGCCATGTCTGTTTTGAGCAGAAGGTGAAGAGATTGATGTGGTGACAGTAGAGAAGAGACAATCGCTCAGCCTGAGGAAGCCGGTCACCATCACACTGCGTGCTGACCCCTTGGACCCCTGCATGAAACGCTTCCACATCTCCGTCCACCAGCAGCAGCACAATTATGCTGCCCGCTCGCCACCAGATGCCTGTCCCCTGCCGGAGCCACCCCAGCGGGATGAGGATGAGCCACCGAGCACCGTGGAGCCAGCCGCTGCCATCACGCTGCCTGAGCCTGCCTTGCCAAAAGCCGGCAGCAGCCCCGGCTCTGACAGTGAGGACGTGGCCAAGAGGAAAAACCACAATTACCTGGAGCGCAAGCGGCGTAACGACCTGCGCTCGCGCTTCCTGGCCCTGCGGGACCAGGTGCCCGGGCTCGCCAGCTGCCCCAAGACACCCAAAGTGGTGATCCTGAGCAAATCCTCCGAGTACCTGCAGTCGCTCATCAGTGCCGAGAGGAGGATGGCGGCCGGGAAGCGGCAGGGCAGCTGCGGCTGCGGCAGAGCCAGCTGCTCAAACGGATTGCTCACCTCAAGGGGCATTAGCACTCAACGTGTCCCCCACCCTGGTCCCCACGACCACCCGGCTCCCTCTCAATTTGCACATTTGTTTTGATTGTTGAACAATCGCTGCATGTGGGGTGGCTGCAGTGGTGCTCTTGGCTGTGGGGATGGGGTCACCGTGGGGGTCCCCCCTGTGACATTGCCTGGGGGCTGGCTTCTTGGCACTGGGTGTTGCAAGATATCCCCTTGTGAAGCTTTCTTAAGTGACTACTTCAATTTGCAGGCTCGACACCATTCCCCTTCCTCAGCAGCCCCTGCACCCCTCTCTGCCATTTGCCACCACCAGCATTGCTGGGAGCTGCCCCTGGGCATCCATCTCGCCCTAAAAAATCCCAGCAACCATGGGTCTGCTTCAGCTCAGGGAAGCAGGTGGAGGCAGACACGGAGCGCCCAGCATGGGGCTCGTCACTGGATGGATCCCCATGGAGATGGTGATGGCAGGAGGTCTCCCTCACCAGGGTTAACAGCACCCTGTGGGCGATAGCCTTGCTCGGCTGGACCGTACCTCACTTTCTTACCACTTCATGCAGTAGCTTGTCTTGGATTTTATGTTCTAGAAACTGCTGCTGTAACTGCGAGTCTTATACTGGAGGCTGTGTTTTTATACTGTATTTTTGTACCACTTTTTGAGAAGTATTGGTAAAGAGTTTGCTTTTTTATATATATATAAAAACTTTTTTTTGGAGGGGGGGTTCCTGCTGTGGGGAGGGCTCAGTCCTGCTGCACTTTAGGGAGATCAGGAAGGGGCTGGCTCCTGCGGGACCCTTGAGTTGAGTCCTGGCAGAGGCTGGTTCCCCCCCTTGCAGCTCTCCAAACCACCCACTTGCAATAACAGGGGCTATTTTTCCCCTTTCCTGCCCTTGTGACCTCCTTTCCCACCCTTGTGAGCACCCACTCACCAGCAGCCGCTTAAAATCCCCGGCAAAGCTTTGGGCTTTGCAGGGAGCCTGGCTGGAGGGGGCAGGTTGTGTGCATGGTGGGGCTGTGCTGCCTTCGAGGCTTCCTCCTGCTGCCCAACCTGTGGTGGGGTATGTGGGTCCATGTCCCCTCCCAGGGGTGCTGGCAGGGGTGGCCCTGCAGGATGGCACCCTCGGGTCCCCACTGACCTACTGAGAACCGTTAGAGTTAACACTGTGGTCAGATTTAGCACTTTCTTCATTACCTCACACTTCATAAATAAATAAGTTTGCAACAGCCTGGGTTGGCTTTTTCCATGCAGATGTCTGTGGGTTTCCAGGCATCACACCATGATGCTCCTGGGGGGGCTGGCCTGGTCACTGTGTTTTGGGGTGTCCCAGACACAAAGAGAAATGAGTATAAGAGAAATGAATATAATTTGCAGCAGGGGTGAAACCATAGTGCTGGCTCGCTGCCAGCAAGACTGAGCTCTTTGTCCTGACTTTCTCCCAGCGATCGAAACAGAAGTGGTCATGGTGGTGGGGACAGGGAAACAAATCACCTGGATTATTTTTCCTCCTTTTAAGTGCCTTTGTTGGCAAGGAGGGGCAGAGAACCCATGCTGGGCTTGGAGAAGGCTTTGGTGTAACTGTAAACCCCCTTAATGGGGCTTGGGGCAGTTGGTGTGGGGCAATCGCTGCCCTGTGGGTCAGGGGATGGGGCTGTGGTTGGCAGTAACCCTATAGGGAGGGGGGGAAGGCAATCCCCTTGCTTCAAGGGGCATTGGAGAACTTCATATACCCAGATCTAATGAGTGGGTGAAACTATACAAGTCTGTTCTCCCTGCCATCCCTGAACCTGATGCTTTTGGGTTTTCTTCATACTGGGGGCAAAAGTCTTTAACTCTAAATGTAGGAGGGACATGGGGTCCTGTTACTGTTGATAAGTCAGGAGAGAGCTGATGCTGCAGGCGACTCAATCACCCAGGGGAAGCCAGCCTTAAAAAGCAATGATTCTGCACAGAAGCTCTTAAATACCTGTTCCCTTTGGTTCTGGCAACATTTCACACTTTCTGCACATTGCATCACGCCATGTCAAAGCATTTTAGAGCTGCGTTAAAAGGCGCTCACAGGAACCACAGCTTAAACACAGAGCAGGGTGACCTAAATCTGACACCTCACCCATGTGCAGGAAACAAAGCCCAGATGTACCAGTCCCTCAATCATTTATTTTTGTTGTGTGTACACTGACAATTGCAGACTGGTGTCTTTTTTCAGCTTAAGGTGACCCTCCCGAGAAGGTTTTTACTAAGGTGTGCTTTTTCTTTACATGCTGAAAGCACATAGGATGTTTAAAACATTTTTCTTTCTCAGAAATGATGTGCAGATCCCATGGCCTGAGCTGAGACCATCGTCAGGGGAAAACATAGTTGGTCTCAAATCCAACTGAAGAAGAGTTTTGCACATACCTTTGAGTTCTGCTTAAAGCCCGCATACATAAATACATATCTATCTGAAACTTCCCTGGTTTCTAAAGCAGATGTCTCCCCTCGTGCTGCCACGTGAACAAAATAAACACATGGGACTTCTCCTCACTCGTTCAGTGCTGCAATTTGCAAGTGTCGGCTGTAACCGACACAATTCAGCATTTACAGGCCTGGCAGAGTGATTATTTTAATGCACGTTGTGCTGCTCGCAGCCTGCTCCTTGCGACTCACCCCTTTACTTCTACTGTACCCCCCAAACCACCTCTGCTTTCCCCCCCCGTGGTTTTTCCCCCCGCCAGTGCCGGATTCATGCGGGGTGGCCTCAGCCGGCCCGGGGGTGCCGCGGGCATGGCGCTGCCTTCACGCCTGGGCTGGCAAATTTTTAGGACAGTTTCCTGAGGCGCGATAATCCCTTCCCCTTCGAGGGGGGCCAGCTGCCCGCAACCCCTCCCCGGCCCGCAGCCTTCTGCTCCCTGTTGCTATGGCAAAGGATGTGTGTTGCCAGGGAGAGCGGCACCACGGAGATA